AAAATATTAAAATATATAAGAAATAATTTCAAAACTAACACTTAGATTTAATATTTTTATAATTTTGCTTAAGTTAATTTTTCCACATGTCTTTTCTGTAGCTTATTAAGAGTACTGATAAGTTTGGCATCATAAGCTCCTTTTCTCAATCTTCCTCAATTTTCAAGTTATTCAGTGAGAAGTCATCCTTGAATGGGTTAAGTTTAATTCCCTGTTAATGACAGCATGACTGCAATGGACATTTTGTTCAGCATATTTTATCAAAACCCTAAATCTAATCTCCCATCCTCTCAGGCAACAGAAACACTGAACTAAAACAGAAGACACATATTTCCTTCTTTCCAGTCTCTGCTTTTAACTTTTAGTTCCAATAAACTTTTCTATTAATATATTAAGATCATGATTACTATCATTTCCTTCATAATCATGAAAGAGTTATTTCTCTTTCTTAAATGTAGAGAACTTTTCCTTATAAATGAAAACTCCAGAGCTCAACTATGCTGTGGAGGCATTACTTGAAATAGTCACACTGCTCTTACAAGTTGATGTTGCACTTAGCAACAGTAAACACAGTCTTCTTTACTTAAAGGAACAAATACATTTATGCTAAAAAATTTTAAAAAATTTAAGTCTAATGAGCTTTTCAAAGAGATAATTAACATGTTCCCAAAAATTCAATTACAATTAAATTGGAACAACATTTGAGGAGGCGGCAAAGAAGAAATGCAAATGTCAAAGTGAGATGGTACATTTATAAACTATATTTGTTTTATCTTTCTTTCTATTCTGGAATATTTATTACATATTCATCCTTTGCAATCCTTGTGTATATATTCATATATTTCATTTAGTTCTGCTGCTCTAACTTTACTTTTTATAAGAATACTTGTTAGGATGGGCCCAAAGCCAAACTGGAAATTTTGGTTTTTTTCCTTCCCCTTTATAATAAACCTAGAGGTATCAGCTATACCACTCTTGTAGAATCTCTTCTCACGGTAAGAGAATATACAATGTTTATTTAGGCTTCAAGGAACAAAACCAGGTTATACACACCCTTATTTTCTCTATATATTAACGATACTATCTTTATGTACTTTAACAGAAAGGCATTTATTACACTTTTAAATTTAATTGTAATTTCCCTAAAGCTTAGTGATTGAGAACATTGAGACTCCCAGAAATATTGGGTAGAGCTGAGAAAGAAAGCACTGAAAAGAGATAAGGGATTTCTGTGGAAACAGCATTACATTGCTGTATACTTCTTGCTTAAAAATTTGAAAAGATTGATGAAATTCCATAGAGATAGAATTGTTTCTGGCTAAGGGCTTTATACAAGGGATTTGCACATTTTTTTTTACTTTTTATTGAAAATAATGGAATACATACCCAATGAAGAATGAACATATGGGACTGAAACACTTTTATGTGTATGTCTGGGTGGTACTGGGAATCGTTCAGAATATGAACATGAATGTGAACTGGTGAGGATTGTAAAATATTAAACCCACTGCAAAAAGCAACAAAAAAAGAGCTCTGGATTATTTAACATGCATTAGAGGAAATGGCAGAGAAGATCTGGCACAGGCCTTGGACTGTAAGGAAATGATCCTTTGTCCAATTTTAGATTTCCAGTTAGGAAGTGTTAGGGCATATCATTTCAAAGGAAGTTGAGTTACTCTATGGAAGTCTCCTCAAAGCTACATTATTATTGATATTGATATGGAAATCAAACTGCTCTCTCCACTCTGAATAATACAGTTGATTCAACAGATATCTGTTGAAGGCCTATTGACAATGACCCTGCAAAAACACTAGCAAGAAGCAATGAGGAATCAATGTCCCTCCCACATCGAGTAGCTCACTGTTTATGTAGGGAATGATATTTCAAAAATAAATACCATTTGGTAACCATTTGGCACAGTAGTTAAAATGTGGCTTGGGACACCTGTATCCTTTTTGAAAATGCCTGGTTGGAGTTCAGGCTGAGCTTCCAATTCCAGTTTCCCGCCAATGCACATCATGGGAGGCATCAGTGGTGGGTTAATCTGCTTGAGTCCCTGCCACCCACATGGGGGATCTGCATTGAATTCCAAACTCCTGGCTTTGACCTGGCCAGCATTGTCTCTCGTGATCATCTGGGCAGTGAATCAGCAGGTGGAATACCTCTATCTGTTTCTCACTCTTTCAAATAAACTAAAAATAGCCAATAGATAAATAATAGCAAAATGTATGACATTATTAAATGGCTTCAAATTAATACACATATGTATTGTGGCTCCAATTAAATTCCAGAACTCTAATAAATGTGTCTTATTTAAGTTCATCAATATGCTTTGTTCTTACCAGCAATAATCTTTACTATAAAAACTCTAAGGGTCTACGTCATTAGAATGTGCTTTTAACTCAAAATTACCTATTATGATGTTTTGCATTTTCCCAAAAACTCTCCAATGTATGATCCCAAATTATACTGTAAATTAGCTTCAGTGACAAGAGGCAGCATTTATCTTTTTATTTAAAGATTTATTTATTTATTTGAAAGTCAGATTTACACAGAGAGAGGAGAGGCAGAGAGAGAGAGAGAGGTCTTCCATCCGATGTTTCACTCCCCAATTAGCTGCAATGGCTGAAGCTGTGCCAGTCCAAGGACAGGAGCCAGGAGCTTCTTCCGGGTCTCCCACGTGTGTACAGAGGCCCAAGGACTTAGCCATCTTCTACTGCTTTCCCAAGCCATAGCAGGGAGCTGGATCGGAAGTGGAGCAGCAGGGTCTCAAACTAGCGCCCATATGGGATGTTGGCGCTTCAGGCCAGGGTGTTAACCCACTGTGCCACAGTGCCAGCCCCGAGCATTTATCTTAAAAGGAATTAAAGATTTACTTCTAAACTCATTCATTTATTCCAGTTTGGTGTTGATATAATCACCTAATTTGGGGAGTTTTGGTCTCCTGGTCTGTACAGTACAAAAATAACACTTCTTATGATAATTAAAAATTTTAAAAATTGGGGCAGGCATTTTAGTGTAGCAGGTTAAGCCTCTTCTTGGAATGCCTGCATCCCACAGCACAGCACCTAGGATTGAGTCCTGCCTCAACTTCTGATCCAGCTTCCTACTAATATGTACCCTGGAAAAGGCAGCAGATGATGGCTCAAGTGCTTGGGTTCCTGCCATGTACATGGGAGATCCAGAAGGAGTTCCTGGATTCTGGCTTCATCTTGGCCCAGTACTGGCTGTGACAGGCATTTGGGGATTGAACCAGAGGAAGGAAGATCTCTCTCTCTCTCTCTCTCTGCCTTTTAAATAATTAAAAAATAAAACAAGATAGACATTATATGGTAATTTTATTCTTAAATTTTAAATAAATGATGAGACCTTTTATTTTTTTATTTTATTTTATTCTTAAAATGAAAAAAGGTGACACAGCAGGTTAAGCTGCCACCTGTGACAAAGGCATCCCATAGGAGTGCTGGTTCAAATCCCAGCTATTCTATTGTTTATCCAGCTCTCTGCTAATGTAGCTGGAAAAGCAGTGGCAAATGGCCCAAGTGCTTGGGCCCCTAAAACCCACATGAAGTTTCAGGCTTTTGGCTTCAACCTGGATCTATCCTAGGCACTGGGTCCATTTGGGGAATGAACCAGCAGATGGAAGGTAAATATTCTCTCTCTCTGGCTCTTACTCTCGCTCTTGCCCTTGTACTCACTCTCTCTGTGTACCTGTAACTTTCACTTTCATATAAACAAATATTATTTTTAAAAAGGTAAATAGCAAATATTTGTAATGAAAACATCTAAAAATCTCTTTTCTATATTTTCTTAGCATGAAGGATTTATTTGTTCTAATATTTTAGCTAAAAAAAAAAACTAGATAAATTTATATGAAAAAAGATGCATTGAAATTTCACATTACTATCATTGATGTAGGCAGGCATACAGGTTAAAACTGATTAGGTTTGTGAGCTGGAAGACCACACCTTCGCCATGCCCCTGTGTGACCTCATGCCCAAACCTGGCCACACCTGAGCACCCACTGGCCAATCAGGTTAATTAACCACTCCCCTTTGAAAGTGGATTAAAAACTTGGGACACGATGTGCCTGCCCTTTCTTTTCCTTGGCCTTTTGCCATTAAAGAGCTTGCTGTGGCCCTGTGCCTCCAGGGTGCATGGTCGTGGGCCACCAGCCCGATGCTTCCTGGCTTAGATGCTCCTCCATGTGGCTGGTTCCTGGTACTCGGTATGAATCCAAACTTGCTTCTCTCCTTTAGATAGGGCCCTCACTCTCCTATGCATATTTTGCATTGAATAAAAGCTTAAAATGTACCATGCTGTCTCGTTCATTTATGAACGAATTCACAATTCTTCTCTAAATATTAGGCAAGAACCCACACGGTATTATTAATATCGGGAATTTATTAATAAGTATATGGTGATACGGTATGGCACCCCAAATTCTGGTTTCACATGGCACCCCAGATGGGACTTTTGAGGAACATTAGGGGAGCCAAATTCTGGTATTGTATTTTAGGGGGCCAATCACGATTTCATCATGAGGCCATTATAATTTATCCTTCCCCATCTTAAATATCTTTCAAAATAAAATGGTAATTCAATTCTGTCTTTCAAGGAAATATGGTTTTATTTTCATGCCAAACTGTCAAAGCTTATTAATAATCTACAAAGTGAATGCTGAGCCACAAAGCATTTCACAGAAAGCATCAACTCGGATGCAGAGGAAATAAACAGCCACCTGAAGAAACCACAACTTTTAATGGCACTTCTTTAAAAATGAAAAAGCACTAAATTCCCTGCTCAATAATCCTATTAGAGGCACCACTTTGAAAATTGATAGCAAAATAATGACTTTAAATAACTGCTTTTTCTCATGAAGCACTTCTGACCTAAAAACATATTTTTCCAGTTTTTATCTAGTATGATTTTTAAGGGCCAATCCCAACTCCTAGTAATAAAATCCTGACAAATTCTTAATCAAAACTCAGCTACTCACACTTACAACTGTGAGGGATTTTAATAAACTGCAACTTCTGATTCTCTTCTCACAGCCTTTAGAAACACCTGTTAGAGCAAAAAAATAGTAAATAATACATACCAATTACCCCTTAAGATTAGTGCAGGAGTTAAGGAAACTAAATCTGTCAATTGCCCCTTAAGAATTTTTCTGCAATAAATTTGACTGCATAATTTATACAAAGTAAATATCAATTCTTAATTCTTTATTCACTCTATTGACTACATATCAAGTTGTGTTTTACCAAGGATGCTTTTCAGTGCCTGGCCAGAAAATGTGATAGGGCAATATATTCTAGAAAGATTTGTGTTTGTTCAAACAACTAAATACTGCAACAGGGAGAGACATCATACACTAATCGGGCTGGTCTCTCTAGGTACAAGCTCAAAAGAGAAGATCAACAGTTGAAGGACAATCAGAATGTGTGGGGCATGTGCACAACAGCAAACCTGATTATACTGTTCTTTTGTCCTTCTTAACTCCACTTAAAAGACACAGAGACTAAATTGACACAGGTCATGTCATGACTCAACTTGGCATCGACTTTTCCCATCGTGGATTTAGAAGAATGAAAAGCAACATGTAAAATCAGAAACACCTGGAATGTTTTAATATGGCCTGCCTATTCTTCCACTGAGTCTTCTGCACTGCTGTCCTTATTCCTTTCTCTTGTGTGACTTTCTTACTCAAAACCCAGCAGAGTGTGCTTAACAGATAAAGTCCAAATTCTTGATATTAAGGATCTGCACAAGTACTCTTCCACTCTCTGATCTAATAGTAATTCATGCTTCACATGAAGGTTCAGACACACTAAAGTGCTCACTTTCCCAAACTCATCTGTCCCCTACCTCTGCATATTTTTCACACATTGTGTATTGTGCCTAGGAAGTTTCCTCATCAATCCCCATCTACACTCAGAAAGGCTCTGTCCAGTCCCATTTCCTCCCAAGAAAACTCCCTACATCCCTATCTCAGCCATGGTTGATTTATCCACTCCACTTCCATCCACAGGACACGTGATTCCTTCTATTCTGAAATGCATTCCATCTTATACTTCATTATGGTTAATTATATTTCCTACTACCCAAGTAATATAAATGACCTGAGAGCAAAAATTAAATGTGCATACTTCTATTCTCCACAGTATCAGAAAAGTGCTGTCTTCCCAATCCTCTGCACTCATTAAATTTTGTTCAAAGTTATCTCTCTTAAAAAATATAACTAACTGGCAATTAAATGACAGCAAATAAAAACTGTACATGTATGATGAATTTTTGAACACAGACAAAAATACAGCCTGTTACCGAAACCAACCACGATTTCCAGAAAATTATTAGCTCTTTCCTCCTTGGTTTCTTAGGAGACTGAGCCAGACAGCTTTTCTATGTGATACATTTGTTAAACAGGGTGTCTGACGCAGTCTGTCTGACATTGATAAACTACTTGAAATTTTGCATTAAAAAAGAGGGAGAAACAGCAGAAAGCCTTACTATTGCTTTTAAAAATGTTGCTCAGTATCGATTGTGTGAGGATATTTTTTATGGTGGCTAAGGGGATAAATGTGTGTGCCTTATACGAAATGCATGGAGAGACAGATAGCAGCAGAGAGGAGAAAGAAGATAGATGGAGATTTTATAGAGTCACCTCTGACAGAATGACTTACTTTTACTTCCTTCAAGCATAAGCAATAACCTTTCATTTTTCATTGACTAGAAAATACGTCAACAGAGATTTTCCTTTACTGAGATTTTCTTTTACGTATCCTCTTTCTTTTCTGAATCTTTGCGTCACTTATAAGGATTAAGATAACTCAGTTTCATCTTTCTCAATATAAACTATCAGTGTCAACATTCAAAATATAGGAATTCAGGGTAGATTTCTATAGATTTGCTCTTCTAAGTATTGTACTAATAACAAATAATACAAAGCATAAAAATTAATTTGAAAGATTTATAGCAACATCACTGAGTGCTTTAGTGATCATTAAGTTATATAACAAAATAACATTGGATTTGACTCACTAAGTTTCTTAAGAGCCATAGAAATTAAGTAATTCAAAAAATAACTGCCCCAAATCACTGTATTTGTTGTGCTTGATAATATAAAGAAATACCTAAAATAAGCTAGTTATGAAGGAAAGAATGGCTTATTTAATTCACAGTTTTGCACTGAGAGTCCAAGATAGGGCAACGTTACTGGTTTGGCTTCTGATGAGCACTGCTTGGCAACACTGGAGCACGTGCAGAAGAAGGATGGCACAGGAAGCAAGGAAGCAGCCAGAGCACCTGGGCTCTCCTCAGGCTTGTATAACTAACCTTCTCATGGGAGCCACTTCTCCACAGTGCCCCCAGTGACCTTAGGACCTCCCACCAATGCCACCTCCTCAACAGCATAATTATATTAAATCTCCACTTTCTTAGTATCATTTACTTATGACTTTGGGATTTCGGTATGCATGAGTTTGAAAGCTAAATAATAGTCGAACTATAGCACGCAGATTTTATTTGTATTGTATTTGTTGTAGCAGGGAGCATCAGCTTCTACATTTTCAAATGTTTCTTTTCTAAAATGACCAAATTTTAAAATTTACTTTGTTAAATATTATAAATCAGAAAACATGAAAATAGTCAATGGTTTTATCTTTGCTCACCCCAATAAGTTTTCCAAAAACTGTCATCTCTTAGCAGATCTGCATTAAGTTACTCTCTAGATTAGTTTTATTTATTTATTTATTTTATTTTATTTTTTATTTTTATTTTTTGACAGGCAGAGTGGACAGTGAGAGAGAGAGAGAGAAAGGTCTTCCTTTAGCCATTGGTTCATCCTCCAATGGCCACTGCGGCTGGCGCACCGTGCTGACCCGATAGCAGGAGCCAGGTACTTCTCCTGGTCTCCCATGAGGTGCAGGGCCCAAGCACTTGGGCCATCCTCCACTGCACTCCTTGGCCACAGCAAAGAGCTGACCTGGAAGGGGGCAACCGGGACAGAATCCGGCGCCCTGACCAGGACTGAACCCGGTGTGTTGGCACTGCAAGGCGGGGGATTAGCCTATTGAGCTGCGGTGCCGGCCTATAGATTAGTTTTACACTGCTAAAGACTACCTTTCATAATCTCTTATTAATTATGATATATGGATATTTATTTCATTTAATTATCACAACCATAATCAACTCAATGTATGTCTTCCCCCAAAATAGATATAAGGAATCTTAAAAAAGTTCACAAAAAATATCTTGTGAAAAAATATGCATAGATTTTAAAATTTTTGTAGCAGGAAAAACATTGTAGCTCAGGGTGTTAAACTCCTGCTTGGCATACCTGCATAACACGTCAAAGGGACTGCATGTGTCCCATCTCCACCTCCAATCCACCATCTGCTAATGTAAGTGGGGAACAGTAGACAGTGGTCCAAGTACTAGGATTCCTGTCACCTGTGTGGGAGACCCAGATGAAGTTCCCAACTCCTAGCTTCAGCCTGGCCCATCCCCAGCTATTGTGGCACTAGAGGAATGAATCAGCAGATGGAAGATGCCTGTCTGTCTCTGTCTCCCTCTCTCTTTGTCTCATGCCCTCTCTCTGTGTCACTTTGCCTTTCATTAAAGAAATAAACAAAATATTTTTTAAAGTATCAAAATAAAATTATCTTTTAAATCTACTTTTTGTGAATTATTTAAAGACTCCCATAAAACTTTTGTATTTACTCACTAAAAAAATGCATTCTTTCTCTTTTATTAGCATAGGAGGCCAGCAGGGAGGATGGGGTAACTGTTTATGGTGACATAATTGTCTAATGTCTTCAACAGTCACTAGAACCAGATCCACCCTTCTCTGTCTCAGAGAGAAAGAAAGAGACAATTATTTAACTTTTACACAGATCTTTTGGGTTAAGAACTATAAAGCTCAGCAAGTTAGGAAACTAATCCACATTTCCAAAACTCACAAATTGTAGGCTCAGGATACAATCCTGGACAGCATGGCTTGTATTTTCCTGCACCTATTGATCAGGAAATAATTAATTTCACCCAAGGAAATCACATTTACTACCACATTTAAAAAATTCTTATCTATGTCTATTGCTGATCAAAGGGAATATGAAGAAAAAATTTCCACAACACTGAAAATAGCACCAAGATTTACCAATGCTGCTCTTTTAGAAGCAAATGGATAGATTTTGGTAGTCTATTATTTTTAAAGGAAAAACTTGTTTTATCAATGTTATGGACAACTCAGAATCTAAACCATTCTGCTATGTATGATCACAGAAAGTGTTTTGGAAAGGTTTATATTCTCTAGATCCTCTTTTGAAGCTTAGAATTATGCTTCAAGGAAAGCCCATAATACACCTTGCTATTTGGCTTAGAGAACTGCTGATATCTTTTATCAGCAAAGATATTTATTCCTAAAAATGTTATTTTGCCACTTGGAAAATGTAGGCAACTCAGAAACTCTCTCAATGAAAAAATTATCACCTTTTCAATTAAAAAATATAACCACTTAAATGTATGGACATTCTAAGAATGGATTTTAGTTAGATTGTTTAGCTTAGAAACTAAAAAGTACAGTTAAATTTTAGTTTCAATAAAGAACAAAGAATTGCTACTATAGTATGTCCCATGTAGTATCTGGAATATAATTTCAATTAATATTTCAATTGTAATTTATTCAACATGTACATGGCTATCGCCTTTACTCTTTTACTTGTTTTTCCTGAATAATATCCTGAAACTTAGTTATTACTGTGTAATTATGTTGAAATTCAGTTATTGCTAGGAATCATTAGAAATGCAGCCATATAATTCAGTTAGTGAATACAGAACTAAATATCAGTCCAAAGCTGTTGTACATTTTTCTCTCCCTCTCTAAAAATAATGCACTAAAATTTAAATACTGCTCAGTTCCAAACTGGATAAAAAGATTTAATACTTTATCCCTTTTAGTATTTTTTTTTTGTTCTAGTTAATACTATTGGTTGAACTCTGTAATTAACACACAATTATTCTTAGGTGTTTAGATTTAACTGAAAAGTGATCCCTGTTAAATATAAGAGTGGGAACAAGAGAGGGTGGAGATGTACAATTTGGGACATGTCAATCAGACTTGCCCCAAATGGTGGAGATTCCAATACAATCCCATCAAGGTTGCATGTAACAATCCTAGCTCACTAGTACAAGTGATCAATTTCAGTTCACAATTGATCACACTGATAGGTCTAAGAGTCAAAGGAATCACAGAAACAAGACTTGTGTCTGATAATACTAACTGATAGAATTAAAAAGGGAGAGAATGATCCAACATGGGAAGCTGGATACACAGCAGACTCATAGAATGGCAGATGTCCTAAACAGTACTCTGGCCTCAGAATCAGCCCTTAAGGCATTCGGATCTGGCTAAAGAGCCCATGAGAGTAGTTTAGGCATGGAAAGCCAAGACACTTTGGCAAAAAAAAAGAAGACCTAAATGAAAGATCTCTGCAAGTGAGATCCCAGTGGAAAGAATGGGGCCATCAAAGAAGGAGGTACCTTTCTCTGAAGGGAGGAGAGAACTTCCACTTTGACTATGACCTTGTCTAAATATGATCAGAGTCGGTGAACTCAAAATGTTTCCATAGCCTTGGCAACTCATGACAAGAGCTAGGGAGATCACTGACGCCATAAACAAGAGTGTCAATTTGTTAAGTCAACAACAGGAGTCACTGTGTACTTACTCCTCATGTAGGATCTCTGTCCTTAATGTGTTGTACAATGTGAATTAATGCTGTAACTAGTAAACTGAAACAGTATTTTACACTTTATGTTTTGTGTGGGTGCAAACTTTTGAAATCTTTACTTAATATATACTAAATCAATCTTCTGTATATAAAGAGAATTGAAAATGAATCTTGATGTGAATGGAATGGGAGAGGGAGCGGGAGATGGGAGGGGTGCGGGTAGAAGGGAAGTTATAGGGGGGGAAAAGCCATTGTAATCCATAAACTGTACTTTGGTAATTTGTATTTACTAAATAAAAGTTAAAAAAAAAGATTTAAAATAAGGAAAAATTATCAAGGTTTGAGTCCCAGCTGCTTCACTTCCAATTCAGCTCACTACTAATGTGCCTGGGAAGGCAACAGAAGAAGGTCCAAGTACCTGGACTATCGCCACCTATGTGGGAGACCTGGATGGAGTTTCTGGCTCCTGGCTTTGGTCTGCCCCACAGCCTACCATCACAGTTATTTGGGGAGTAGATGGAAGATCTCTTGATTCTCTCTCACTTTAAAATAAATAAAATAAATCTTTATAATAAGAAAAAGAAAATTATCTTATGTGTTTAAAGGATGTGGCTGTTTCAGTTTTGGAGCCATGTATATATCCACTGTGCAAAAGTATCAGCCACTTTATATAATTATAATTACATAAATGCGTATTACATATAATAAGACCATACAGGAAACTTAAAATTTGCTTACCCAAACTAATAAACATTTAAAACTTATGAAAAATACTTTTTATAATAATTATTCATTTTATAGCTTCCTGTGAATTGATTAAAAACTTATAGGTAAGTGTTTTCTAATTACCTAACGCTGAAATTTTTTCTATTATAGATTTAAATTGCCATAGCTTGGGTATGTGCTTGGCTTGTTTGCATAACTTCTATTTATGTTCTTGAACTGATGAAGCCTGCAATGTTCAACATACACATGCACTGTTTTAATGTCCGCCAATATGACCAACAAACTCCATTTCAGAAAATGGCACCCCAATCATCCAGTTATTCCAATGCAGAATCGTGGTTGCAACTTTGATTCCTCTCTGTTCCCCACCTCTCACATCATCCTAAGTCCTATCAACTCTAGTTTTTAAGCGTGTCAGAATCTGTCCCTTTTCTCCATCCCCATTAGCAAACTCCATATGGAGTCCCCATCCTCTGGAACATGGGTTGTTCTGAGAGCGTATTTGTTTCTACTCATTGACTCCTGCTTCCAAGCGATCCTTTTTGTTCAGTGCTGCTGCACAGTAATCTTGTAAAAATGCAATTCTGATCGTGACCCTCCCTTACATAAAAAGCTTTTATAGTTTCTTATTCTCCTTATGATAAAAATCCAAATCTTTAACCTGGCACTCTGTGATTTAAGCTGGGCCTTTCTTGTCAGTCTTGGGGAAGACTTACTGGCCACATAGTCAAGGATAAATCCTATCATTTTTTATTGTCTCAGTAATTTATTTCTCTGCCTTATGACCACATCAAACTAATAACTAATAATTTTGTCATAATGTATGCAATTATGTGCCTTTTTAAAAAAGTCTATATTCCCTACCAAATTGTAAGCTGTTCATAAACTTAGTCTTTATGAGTATTTCTTCACCTCCACTCTGTACAGCAATGCACATACATAGAAGTATTTACAATATAATAAAAGATAAAATGTATAAATATTTGTGAATCCCTCAAAATTAGCTATTAAAGTGAATATTTGTTCCCACCCAATGTATTTGCACTGCACTCTTCTAGCAAGGAAAGAACTGTATTAAATAGATTTTTTTAATGTTTAAGTAGATTTTATATCCTTTCTAGGAAAATTCATTTGAATATTCACACTTTCTTCTCCTGCCAACATGTTTCAAAGTCACACACCAAGAAAATTCTGAGAACAGCTGGCTAGCATATTTCTTGATTTTTTTTTACTTATATAGGAAATAAGAAAAGTCATAAAGATCAGGCCAGTTTATCATTTTCTCAAAGAAAAGAGCCTCAGTAACCCTTTGAGTTGAGTTGAGTTTGTTTGAAAGAAACTAGCACATAACAAACTCTAGGACATCTCCTAAGGTAAATGTTAGATGCTTCTAGGAGGCCTCAGTTAATTTTCCAGTGTTCATGACCAAGTCAAAACAGAGGCTGTTGAAAAGGTATTTCAGTTGGTGGACCCTGAGAATCACTTCAAAAAATGGAATTTGTGTACAATGGAAGAAGAAGCACTATGCTATGTTCAAATGCCAACACTAAACTCCCAGTTTCCATGGTGTTACTGCTAATCAGGGCAATTTAAAAGAGGAACAGAAATAAGGCACCATTTAAGTAGATCACTCAAGCTTACAGCAGAGTCTAATCACTATGTCTAATTACAAAGAAAAGGAAACCACAAAAGAAATTATTTCAAGTACGCTAAGATTGATACAATAAGATATTAACAGATAAACAAGTGATTGCCACCTTAATGGCACTATTTGGAGAGATGTAAACAAATGAAACACCGAAAAAATGCAGGACAGTGATTTCTGACATATTAGATTGTCTGGCAAAAATATATATTAACTGAAATAACAATAAATCAGCTGAAACTACTAATAGTATGAGAATATTTGTATTCATTTTCAAGGATGCTACAGACAAGATGCATGAGACAAAAGGAATTTTTTCTGAAGGCTATAAATCTGAGGTCAAGGTACTGGCATGGCTGGTTTACTATGAGGGTCTCTCCTCTTCTTTTCTTTCGTTTAACTTTTTCTTTTAAAGTTTTATTCATTTGTTTGGAAGGCAGATCAATATGGGGGAGGGGTGTGGAGGCTGTAACAGAGAGAGAGAGAGAAAGAGAGAGAGAAAGAAAGAAAGAGCGCTTCTATCCACTGGTTTACTCCCTCAAGTGGTCACAATGGCCAGTGCTGGGCCAGCATAAAACCAAGAACCAAGAATGGATCAGAAATGGAGAATCGAGGACTTGAACTGGTACTTGGATATGGGATGCCAGCACCAAAGCACAATGAGTTAATCCTTGCATGCAAGAGAAGCCCATGAGGGTCTCTCCTCAAGCTTGAAGATGGACTTTGTGCACACAGGGTCATCTTTCTGTGCCTCTGTTCTAATCTCTTCCTATAGAGTCACCAGTCATAATGGATTAGGGTTCAGTTATATGACCCCATTTTACCTTAACTACAACAGCTCTCCTCTCTTCCTACAATTTCATGTTCTGAGTTTCAGTTATCTGTATTTAACCATTGAACAATTGTCCAAAAATATTAAATGGAAGATTCCAGAAATAAGCAATTCATAAGTTTTAGCTTGCACTACTGTTCTGAACTGTGTGATGAAGTCTAACACCCTTCTGCTCTGTTCCACTTTCCACTTGGTTCCATTCAGTGTGAATCATCCTTTACTTCTGCGTGGCCGTGCTGTACATGCTACCAACTCATTAGTCACTCAGCTATCCTTCTTATCAGATTGGCTTAACAATATCACAGTACTTTAGTTCAAGTGATCCTTATGTATTACCCTGACACTATATAGCAAAGTGATTTACCTCACTTCATAGACTCATGTAGGGATTTTATCATCTCTCATCACAAGAAGGGTGAGTGCAGAACTATGAGAGAGAAAGATGACATTCACATAGTTATAATCATTCTATTTTATTTTCAGCTATTATTGTTCATTTCTTACATTGCCTAACTAATAAACTAGACCTTATCATACATTTGTAGTATTGGAATAAACATTATCCATAGCATTTTATAATATCTGCAGGTTCAGGAATCCACTGAGCTCCTGGAACATATCCCAAGCATAACAGGAGACAGGATCTATTTTCATTTATTTGAAAGGCAGAGAGACAAACAGACCAAGATTGCCTGTCTATCGATTTACTCTCCAAATGCCCACAACCACCAGGGCTGAGTCAGCCCAAAGGCAGGATCTGGGAATACAATCTAGGTCTCCCACATGGGTGGGAATGACCCAACTACTTGACATATTACTTGCTGACTCAAACAGCTCACATTAGCAGGAAGCGAGAGTCAGGAGCTGGAGGTAGGTATTGAACCCAATCCCCTTTATGTGGGATGCAGGTACATCAACCATTTGCCAAGCACCCTCCCCTACTATACCTTTTGAAAGACCTTATATTCAAATACATTCACATTGTGAGCTATAGCTTGTGAATTCTGGAGACATAATTCAGCCTGTAACGGCTTGTCTCTTGCAAAAAATCTTTTATTTTTTTTTCTGCTTATTGAGACATAAATCAGATACTATGAAATTCATTCTTTTAAAGTATACAATTATATTTCTTTGGATTCTTGGAGAAAGAAGTCTACATATATTTACTTTGAGGAGGGAATTTGTATTTTCTACTTTTTTCATTTTTATTCAACCATTAAGAACTTTCTTTAATATTTCCCTGTAGATATCATTATTGATGCTTTAGTATGGTAGCAGGTTGGTAAAAAACAGATGGCCTGACAATAATTTGTGCTCTGAAAGCCTCAAGAATTAGATGTTGCCCTCATACAGCTTCAAAGAGCTTCCATAGCTAAGAACTGGCCTTGCTTTTCAATGAACCCCAATATTCTCCCAGGCTAAGCCCCAGAGGTAGAAAGCTGGGGCCTAATCACTAAAGTTTAATGAGCCAGTCATGCAACAGCTGGGAAAATTAGCTCCTTCGAGGCCAAGACGATTTCTACTTCATAGCGCAAAGTCACTAAAGAATACGTAAAACTTTGCCTTCAATTCTTTAAGAGAATGAACAGAATTTAGCAGAGAAGGGAATAGGCGCTCAGACTCATAGGGTTTCTTCTCAAATACAGACTGATAGGGACACAACAGTCTTCAGAAAGTAATTTGAAGCATTCAGCCCGGACTTGGAGACGTTGAGGTCTCACACAGTTTCAGTGGTTGAATAGAATTTTTACACTTCTAATCAGATGATTTCTTCTGCTTTCTACCTCTCTTTTCTTATCTATTTAAGCCAATGATTGTGTAAATCTTCAAATTAAAATATATTTGAGCTGATTTTCCAACTCAACCATAATTGTATAAATGACTGCAGGGCATGGCCAAGAAACAGTCCATTCCACCATTCACCTCCAATAGTAGGAAGATCACACACGTAAACATCTTCTCCAGATGTAAATACACTGAGACATGCACTGGCATTGGCTGAAATGGAACGCAGCACAAAGCCTCCCAAGCGATATTCTCCTAATGGTTGATCATAATAGTTGGTCATTATAGTGCCAGTTAGAACATCTCCTTTGTTAATACCAAGTTGTATTTGTGAAATACAACTTTCTCCCTGTATAAGTAATGTGAAGGCTTCTTATTCACCTGAAAAATACACCTTGCTTTCTCTGTAATAGGAACAGTAATGTGGGGCCAGTATTGTGGCGTGGTGAGTAAAGTTGCTGCCTATGGTGCCAACATCCCATATGGGCACCAGTTCCATGTCCCGGCTGCTCCACTTCAGAGTCAGCTCTCTGCTGGTGGCCTGGGAGGGACAGTGGAGGATGACTTGAGTGCTTGGGCCTCTGCTACCCATGTGGGAGACTTCAAAGAATCTCTTGGATCCTGGCTTGAGCTGGCCTGGTCCTGGCCACTGTGGCCATCCAGGGATAGAACCAGCAGATGAAAGATCTTTCTCTGTCTCTCCCTCTCTCTATAGCTCTTTCAAACAAATTAATAAAAAAGAAGCAATGTTTACTTTCTACAACAGAAAGTCAGATAAACTATGACAGACATGCAAACATACATACACATATAAATCACATACACATACTCATATGTATATAACATATACATGTACATTATTAATGTTATAAGTTACCTAATTTATAAAATGAAAGATAAATTTTATGCTTATTTTTTATCTGATGAACCAAATTAGTTCTATGCTTATTAAAAATCTGCAGAATAAATGTTCTACCAAGTGAGGTGCTATTACTAGAAAATTAGTAAGCTACTTCATAATATTAGTATCATAAAATATATACTTGCAATGAAATAAAATTGTCTTTTTCTTAGTCTTGGAAAAAGTCATTACATAGCAGCATGCCAATTAATATTTTTTGTGTTTTTCTGCAGGCTGTTGGTGCCCCTGTGAGAGCCAAGAAGTGCACTTAAATCAGTGCTGTTTTCCTTGATGGTTGCATTGATCCAAAAGCCCACTGAAGTCAATAAGATTTTGTCTTTTACAGAAATGTTGCACTTAGATTATCTCCACAGGAAAGGATAGAAAAGAAAAAAAAAATTCTTGGTACAAATAGCTCTGTTACTTTCAAACCACCCAGCCTGATTTATTTTTATACATATTAGAAGGTTCACTCATCTTTAAAGTGGATTTTGCACATTTTGAGTAATACTTATAGTAGTGGTATAATTCATCAAAGAAGACAGTGAAATTTGAGTTCTCTTCTTTCTTGAAATACTAATTTTTGGGGTTTTCATATCAAGCAGTCTCCTTTAAATTATCAGTACAATAGTTCTCCAGTGCCTCTGGCCAGATCACAAAGATCCTGGAGGGAGCCTTCCTTGATTGCTAGGGCAGAGCTGATTACTCTAGCACCTTTCCTACATTTGCAGGGCAACAGCAAATGCTTCGAGGTGTGGGCCATCAGTCAGAGCAGCAGGCTCATCACTACTGCAGGCTGACAGTGCCAGAGAAAAGAGAAAATGTCATGCAAGATACTTTGTCCCCATGGCCTGGGGTTTTAGTCTTTGAATTATCCTCCTGAAGGTCTCTCGTCTAACATGCACACGCACACAAATGCTAAGAACCTCACCCATTAAGATGTTGCTCAACTGGACATCTGCTCTGTGAGTTAGACACACCCCGTTCTTTGCTGTCTTTGGAATTCTTTAGGCCTCTTCTTTAGGATTTGGAGTTGCCATGAGGATCAAACATAGTGAGACTTTGGAAGTGTCCAGCTCACCAGGGCTCTCAGAAATGACAGGTTCTTCATTTACATTGCTATTTTGTCTTTGCAGTTCTCAGATGTGAACAAACAAACAAAACACAACAGCTCCAATAACTATTTTCTTTTTTTGACAGGCAGAGTGGACAGTGAGAGAGAGAGACAGAGAGAAAGGTCTTCCTTTGCCGTTGGTTCACCCTCCAATGGCCGCCGTGGCTGGCGTGCTGCAGCCGGCGCACTGCGCTGATCCGATGGCAGGAGGCAGGAGCCAGGTGCTTTTCCTGGTCTCCCATGGGGTGCAGGGCCCAAACACTTGGGCCATCCTCCACTGCTTTCCCGGGCCACAGCAGAGAGCTGGCCTGGAAGAGGGGCAACTGGGACAGAATCCGGTGCCCGGACCGGGACTAGAACCCGGTGTGCCGGTGCCGCAGGCGGTGGAGTAGCATGGTGAGCCACAGCACTGGCCTCCAATAACTATTGTCCCAGCAACATTTGTTTTCCAGAAAGTTCTTAGAGTAGGGTAATTAGATATTTAGTAAAAATGACAGGTTTGTCTGGGGTCGACACTGTGGCATAGTGGGTAAAACTGCCACCTGCAGTGCCTGCAAACCATATGGGTTGCTGCACTTCCAATCCAGCTCTCTGCTATGGCCTGGGAAGGCAGTAAAAGATGGCCCAAATCCTTGGGTCCCTGCACCCATGTGGGAGACCCAGAAGAAGCTCTTGAACTCCGATTGGCTCAGCTCCGGCCGTTAAGGCCATTTGGAGAGTGAACCAGAAAATGGAATAGGGTTTGGACCAATATTCTCAATGCATGTGATGAACCACATCAAAAGAGAAAAAATATTTTACACTGCATTTTTTATCATTATTTAAAATTTTATTTATCTGTTTGAAAGAGTTACAGAGAGAGAAAGGGGGGAGAGACAGATTGAGAGGGATTTTCCATCCACTGGTTCAATTCCCAGATGGCTAAAATAACCAAGTCTGGGCTACACTCAAGCCAGGAACTAGGAGCTTCTTCCAGGTCTCCCATCTGGGTGGCAGGGGCCCAAGTACTTGGGCCATCTTCTGCTGCTTTTCCCAGACCATTAGCAGGGAGCTGGACTGGACGTGGAACCTCCAGGACACAACCCAACCATACTGGATGCAGTGTTGCAGGCTGCAACTTTATATACTGTGCAAACAACTCTGGCCCCCATCATTATTTTAAAATCTAAAACAATATCACTATTATTGCTCACATGATTATTTGAATATGGAAACTACAAAGAATTTGTGGAAAATGGAATTAAATGATGTTTATTTGGGTACAAAATTTTTTTTGAAATTGAGGTAAAAACAAGACTTCAAATAAAAGGCTTATAAAAATTGTATTTTATGGAAAAAAAATGCATGGATGTTTTGTACCAAAGTAAGCTTTTGAAATTTCTTCATATATTTAATTTCCCTTTGGGTGCTTTGGGTGGAGAAGTGATCTTTTTGTTCTTTCTATATTTTTTCATTTTCTTTTTTTAGTGACCCATAATTGCTATACACAGTACAGGAGAACCACAAGTACATTATGAAGATTCCCAGAGGTGATGTGAATACAATAAAGCAGACAGATATCAAACCTAGTTTCTTAATGAGAACATACAATGCTGTGTCCTACATTGTGCCTTCGTTCCAATTTCTA